GCCTCCGCCGCCGTCGCCGCCGCCGTCGCCACCGCCGCCGCCGCTGCCGCCGCCGCTGCCGCTGCCGACGCCGACGCCACCATTGCCGCCAACTCCGCCTCCGCCTCTGCCGCCGCCTCAGCTGGGAGCGCACGAGCAAGCGCGTCAATCTGCGCCACTCTTCTCCGCCTCCGCCGCCCAGACGCTATTCCGGGGCGCCATGCAACTTCGCTGATGCGCGACCTCTGATTCCTGCGCGGGCGGCAATGCCGCCACAAAGGCCGTCTTTGAGGTGTCGGCGTCCAGATGCATCGGCCCAGGCCTAGATGCGTCGCCGAGTTCTGTGAGGTGAAATGGAGGTGTTGCTAGTACCGAGATGATACTATTTGGAATTCTTTAAATACGTTCACAAAATGTAACACTCAATGGTTTTTGGTATATCCGTGAACCTTATGTGAGTCACAGACGTTCTCAACGTCTATGGCAAATATTTGGATGGAAGATGCCGTAACTGCACGAGCTTTGGTTTGAACTTGCTAGGACGGTCATATAATTTTGAAATACACCAGGGCGCATATTTATTTTTGAGATTATTACAATAAACTTACATTTGTAAAGCCGTCTGAACTATCGAATATATTTTAATATTATTATAGTGACAGGGAACGCACATTGTACTGTCGTTTACTACAATTTTGTTGACACTATTCGAACAAAAATTGGTATGTATTATTATTTTTGTTTGCCATTGTTTTCTTGAAAATCAGAAGTTGCAAATAGATTTGCTTAATTCTTTCATTTCAACCAATATTTTTTAACTTTAATATATTATAAAAACTATTATTTCTGATATACAAATTAGTCAATGATACAAGTTTCTATGGCAATGAATTTAGACATTTCACTTCTTAGAAACAATCCATCATTTCATGAAAAGACCTTATTTATCCCCTTCTCTCTATTTTTCAATCTGTGCATATTTCCGGTTTGCTCAGAAATTTATATTTGAGTCTATTTTGGTCAATATTCCATTATCAAACTTGGAAGCATCTGCCGCACTTTCTTCTCAGATATCCACAATATTCTCTTCTTCGCTATTCAAGAACAAGTTCCTTCCAATCCTCCGTTTTTTGCTTTATTTTACGTATCTAACTTATTACTCGGCAATGCGTGGTTATTTATTTCAATTCCCTTTGGGACCCGTCTACATAAAGCGTGATGCACACCATTTCGTTTTTCACTAGCTCCCTTCGCACTTACTGGGAAAGTATGGATTCGTCGAAGGCATGCAGTGATATCATTTGGCCACGTCAGTGGTGGCTTGTGAGTCTAAGCTGACGAATTGTCGGTAAAATTCCTGCCCCCTCCCATTTCTAACTAAAAATTATTCTGTGAGTGAACAACATTGAAAGAAAGAAGTACCATCACGGTTAAAACAAACCATAAGGAAAATTACATATGAAAATATTATTTGCTCATATTACACACTCACACACACCAGCGTAATCGTTTTCCATATCCCAGTTTTAGGAATAACAACATTTATCTATCAACATTAATCAGAATCAATCAATATTCTTATAAATATTGACTGCAACACAACTAATTATAATGAGTACACCATGAGGTTCTAAATTGTCGCTCATACCTTTTGTCTAAGCATTCTTCGCAAGACATCTATAAAGCAATATTCAACGCCTATTGTTTGCTTTAATACCAGTGCCTACAAATTTTATATATACTTGTAGTCCGCCCTGAGCAAATATGAATATATTGACTATTCTAATTTCTTCATTAGTGTTGATACTGCCACAAAACAATAAAGAATATTATGATTGTTTTAAGGAATGTACTGAACAGTAAGTTTTCTCTGAATATTCGCCATGGTCCCACGCCTACTCTAGAAGAGCTGAGAGTGTCTGAGAAGCCATAGAGTTTGTTTCCAGATTGTAAGAACTGTGTAAGTGTACCGAGTTAGGTTCATAATGCTTCCAGCGTTTCTGACAATGATTTACTCTGGAACACACAAACACACATCCATTTTTATGTAGATAGTACATCTTCGTGAAATATAAATCGCAGAGTTGCTCATGTAAGTTAAATTCTTGTACTTTCGATTTACCATTTTATTCTTGTAATTTTTAATTTCCTACTTCATAACTTTTCAAATTTATTCAAGCAATGTTCTTACGTAGAGTGTAAATGTGAATATTAAAGCTGCGATGTGCTAGAACGAAACCATTTTTTTCCATTATATTGTTTTAGGCATGACTGACCTGTTGATTAAAAACAAAAATAAACTAATCTGAACTTCTAAATTGTTTCCTGCGAACGAAATTGCGTCTCATCAAAAGAACTCACCTGTAATAGGAAACCCAGAAAACAGGAAACCCGACTCGCGATGTGATGGTCGACGCCGGATTTCACGCGGGGGAGGAACATCGCCTTTTCCCGGAAGGCAAAATGCACTTTACTTACAGAACTAATATTCAAAGTAGTTGACGCGCCCGAAGTCAATAAATACACGCCCACTCACTAACGAAGGAAAGGCAAAAATTATCAAAATGTTTTTCATTAACTGTATGTACGCCCAACTCCAAGGAAGACAAGAGAAATATTTTTCTATGTACGAAAACCAGTTCAACTTACGCAACAGTCGACGATAGTTTTGCAAGAAGGCTTTGCTTCGTTCCAGGTTTTTATTTTTCTATACGTTATTGTTTGTTATTGCATACAAAATGGAGTTTGATATACACAGCATTGCTTACTCGGATTGAGAGTATCGTGGTTATGAGGGAAATAAGAAAACAGTTGAATGGTGCTACATGATCTCTCATGAGAGGGAATTATGGGATGGAAACATGAAAAGACAAACCGAGTCAACTAGTTAATTAGCAAGTAAGAAAGTCAATTTAAATCATTAAAATAGCGTAAAAAATTAAATCATTCACATACCACATGCGTTAACAGGTTCTAATGATAACGGGAGACAAAAAGCCTCCAGACTTTTCTCAATCATTAGAATCCTTATAACGCGCTTGGTTCATAAATAACTATTTTTGTAGGTCGCGAACCAGGTTAGACGCCGCTTCTCGCACCAATGTCAAATGAAAAGTGACGCTCTAGTGAAATATATTTCAATGATCCGAAGGGACTATTAGAAGATAGAGTGATATCTAGGCTGCAGACAACCCAGACTTAGTTCCAACTTATCGAACTTATCGTGTGTGATGGGGAATTACCGGCCAACATTAACCCTTTCTTTTACTTCTCCTCGAGGATAAAAATTAACAGTTTCAATACGTTACGAACTATTGATCACTTACCGCGACATTCAGTCAAGAATACCTCATTTTCAATTACGCTAAGTGGAAAAGTTTCCGTTGCTGTTTATGATTTTCTATTACAGTGTTACACAAAATATTAACAGTAACAGCGAGAACTCTCAATAATACACAATGTTTAAATAATGAAAGATTATTGAATCTACGACTCACAGAGTCGATCGATATGTGGATTTAATAGTCCAATTTCAATGATTGTTACTAGACCCTTTTCATATTTCAAGAATTTAATGGAACATTTATTCAGCAATTTCTCCGTTTTCCCGTTTGAGCACTGAGAGAATATAGTTCGTCTGTGGAGTAAAGAGATCAATGTTGGAGTAGGTTAGCACGCAAACAGAAACGGAAATCTCGAGAGAACTAACTCCCAGACTCATTAGACGTGGATCGATAGGGAGCCATGCATGAACATGCGCACAGAATAAAGAAACTAATGGTCGCCTTCCGTGAGGCTAGAGCATCCTGGCCATTTAATGATTTTTAGGATTTTCGCAGACAAGGTGTTTTGGACGTAAAGAGCAAGAATAGCATTATTTCTTCACAACATGTATTGCAACGAGGAAAGAGATTTTACTTGCTTTGATGAGAGGCATTTATTTCTTGACATAGCTAATTCGATTACTGCAGTACATAATACACAAATTGGCATTATCGACAAAAATTTAGTGTACTTGTTTTCGTTTA